TTGCCTATGTGCTGTCCTTAATGATTCACAAACACATCTCCTTAGCACCAAAGCAGAAAACAAAACAGAAAGATGAAAAAGAAACTCATAAGAACCACACTAGCAAAATGAAGTTTTAAATAGCAGAGCATCAGTTTTTGGAAAAAGATTTCATATCCACGAAACAAGAATAGGGTGTGTTTTGTAAATTGTGTTGACCTACTACAGATGGGAAAAAGGAAGGATGAACGATCAAGTAACCAACTCACACAGTCATTAGATAGAAGGTTTAATAAACAACACCTAACTTGTAGGAAATACAATCAAGAGATTAGTTCCATGAAATTTGAGGTGACAGATTATAAAATGAAATTATTAAAATGCCACATGCCTTCACATAAGACTTAAAGACCTCAGAGGTATTAAACTGAGGCATTATATATTTTAGAAAAAAATATGAAATAAATTAATTTAAATTGGTACTCCAGGAATAGAAACAGAGATGGGGAGAGGTATGGGGAGGAGGTGGGTGTGCTTTTGGCTATAACTTGTCAAAATGGCTGATTTGAAAATATTACATGCACAACTTCAACTGAAATATATATGTAAAATAAAAATGCATCAGAAAATGGCATATGGTATACCTCCAATTTCAACTTCAACAAAATAAAACTTTGTCTGCTCCATGATTCAAGATGGTGGTTACTATACTATTTAACAAAACAATTCAGCATAAGGGCATTTTGAAGCTCTCATTTTCCTACTCAGACCCAGTTATGCACTGGTGGGTGAAACTATTGAACAACCTAAACCTCTGGTCCACTCCACATACCCTGCAATGACAGTCAATTACTATCTCTGCCTTCTGAGAATCTGCTTGTATTTCACTGGTACTTGTTTACTGTGTCTCTCAGATGAAAGGGCCTCTATTTCCTGGTCCTTAATGGCTAAGAGGAATTTAATCAACAATATGAAATAGACTCATTTCTTGCCTCATGACTTTGGAAAAGCATTGTGTTCTAAATGCTCCCAGTAGCACACAGGTCACCAGTGCTGGGTATCAGGAAAGCTGGTTCTTGTCTGTCCATCCTAGGTTTATTTGAAATATACATGCAGAAAAAGTAAATTTTTAAATGCCTGGTCTTATTTTTTTTTCAAGTCAGGGTTTCTCTGTGTAACTTTGGCTATCCTGAAACTCACTCTGTAGCCTAGGCAGGCCTCAAACTCAGAGATCTGCCTGGCTCTGCCTCCTGGATGCTGGGATTTAAGGAATGCACCACCACTGCCCAGCCTGTCTTATTCTTATTAGACCTAAATTTTTCCCTAATAAAAGTCATTTGGTCTGGCCTCCCAAGATACATAAGAGTCTCCCCTTGAGTTTGGAAGCATTGCTAGGGCCACCACCGCAATGGCTAGACTCTGAAACTTTCTCCCGAAGGATTGTGCTTCACATGCTTGTTCCCCAGCTGGTGGAACCTTCTAAAAGGCTCCGGGACCTTTAGGAGGTAGAGCCTTGCTGTTGGAAGTGTGGGGCCAGGGTCTGGCCTTGCTCTCTAACTCCTGGTCCATCACACACCATCAAAATTCTGCTCTGTATTCCACATAACAATGAACTAAAATCATCTCTCTATTAGATGCTACAGTCATAGCAATAGACTGGAACTAGTCTCTGACTAACAAAATGAATCTGGATCTAGAAACAGATCTCTGAAGTTCACCATGACATAGATATATATATGATCCCATAGTATGCCCTCACATGAGCACATGTACTAGAAACACAAAGACATGAACAACCTGAGGCTCTGCCTCCTTTACAGCAAACATATTGCTCTGCCAGAGTTTCATGGATGCTAGGATCAAAAACAAATTGCTGCTCACAGCAACAGAGACAACGGGAGTGTTGGCAGTGGCTCAAACCCTTTCCCACACCAGAAAGGGCTGCATGATTCTCTCTCTCTCTCTCTCTCTCTCTCTCTCTCTCTCTCTCTCTCTGGCTTGACTATCAAAAACAAAGAGCTCCAAGCTCGGAAAACCCATTTTTTATTACTTTTATTATGAAAAAATATACATAACATAAAATTTGCCTTCTTGATCAATCCTTAAGCATGTGAATCAATGGCATTAAATCTTTATGATGGCCAGTAAACTTTCTTGAGCTTTGAACCATGGGAGGCATTTCCTTTGTTATTAGAGGACAATAAGCAGACCTGGCCTCTCATCACTGTTGGTATTCTGGGCCACATAATTTTTGTTGGGGAGAGTACTTATGTGTATTACAGGGAATTAGTGGCTCTTTTGACTACTACTCACTAGATCCAACAAAACTCACCAAGTTTTGACAACACATCTCCACAAACAGCCAAACATCTCTCTGGAAACAAAATGCCTCCATTGAGGGTGACTCTCCTATAGGAAGTCGGTACCTTTACTCTCCAAGGCCATTCACTATACAAACATTCTTGAGAAGACATTCAGGGCCAGTGAGATGCCTCAGTGGGTAGAGGTGCTTGCAGGCAAGCCTGAAGACCTTAAACCCTGGGGTCTACATGATGAAAACAGTACACACACACACACACACACACACACACACACACACACGTATATACCTATGTATGTGTGTGTATATACATATATATTCATATATATGTATATGTGTGTGTGCATGGAAAGTGAGGATAGTAAGGCAGGCCTGTCTGTTAAGTTGTCACTATGGTCATTTAAGATAACAGTCATGCAATTCCTGTCCCTCGGCATGTACCTGATAAAAGATGGCTGCCATTTAATGCAGACCATGTAGGGTTCTTCTTCAGTGCTATTCTCATTGTTTTGGAGCTAATGAATTTCTCCACAGAACATCTGGCTTCACAGAATATTCAGATCATGGCTACTTAGGACACAAAAGTGACTCTGAGACCACCACCAGGGGCTGGTGCCCAGTATGAAGCAAGAGGGCCTAAGGATCCCAGAACTGAATAGAGCAGAAGAAAGCAAGTAGAGTCTTCCTTTCTCCAAGTCCTTCTGTCTGCTGGTGCTGTTCTTGCCCAACGTTTGTCGTTTATCTGTCACTCCTGCCCTGCTGCATTTTGTTCAACTATCTCCACACATCCAATAAGAAATCAAGCACTGCCGATGCAAGGCTAATCCAGTGGCATCAAAGATCCACTCTCCCTCCCAAAGTCCCTCCCTCCAAATCAGAGAACACCTAAGCAAACAGACCCTCACAACTGCACAGGTTGCTTAAGAAGCGATCAGTGGAGAGACATTTCCCTTACTGGTGATGCTATGGTATTGTCTTCATATTTTGACTTTAGAATATAAATTAGTCTTGGTTTTTACAACTAATAAGTTTGGTATATACATGATTACTCTTCTTTGTCCGAAAATATAATATTTAATTATGATTTCACAGTAGAGTTAAAATTCTGTTTTCTCCCAGGAGAAACAAAGTAACTATAACTGGGGTTTATGAAAAATTATTAGTGAGAGCAAATCTTAGAACGTAAATTGGATTTTGTAAATCCGTGAATTTCAGCACATCCGGCTTTTCATCAGGACAGCGTGTGCAGAAACTATGATGGGTTAGTTAAGCATCAGTCTCGCCACTGCCCTGCTAAGACATACACGGTGGGAAGATCACTTGTGGATCTGCCCTATTATGAAATTTGCTTTCAGAAAAAGAGATAGCACATAATAGTCACAGGGCACATGGCAATTCCTAGCCACCCTGCCTTCCTTCAGAGTCTGGCATTAACCCACCCTCCAGAATGACTGTAACAGAAAGTGTAACAGAGTTTTTCAAGCATTTTGTTTCAAAGTTCTCCAAATTATTTCAATATAAAGTCAAGCTTAGAAGTACTAGGATAATATGATCTGTATACTGGATGGTACCAGGGTCAACAGTTTGGTTAAATAGGATTCTACCTTATTTATAATCTCCTTTAGAATGCAAATGTATTCCTGTGTGTAAACTCAGTTTGGTAGATACAGTGGAGGTCCTTCAAATGTTCATTGTCTCATTAATATGTACTCTCTAAAATCTTTCACTGTAAAAAATTCAGAAAGTGAAGGAAAGAAAAACATCCTATATTCCTATAGTGCTATTCATATTTAATAATCATTGTAAACAAAACAAAGTGTGACAGGGTGTAGGGAAATGGCTCACTGAGTAAGAAGCCTGCTGTTAAGCATGAGGACCTAATTGCAGATGCCCAGAAGCCACATGAAAGCCAGGCATGGCACACCTTTAACCAGTGTTGAGTTCGCAGAGATGGGGACTTTCTAGCCAGCTAGTCTAGCCAAATCAGCCAGCTCCAGGGTTAGTGAGAAACCCCACCTCAGTAATAAGATCTAGAACAACTGAGGAAGACACATGATGCATACCTCTGACCTACACATACTCACATACGTGCAGACAGACACTTGCACACACATATGAACATATAGTTAACTGGCTGGCTTCTTGTATTTAGCCAGAATTAACATGACTTAATTTCTTCAGTTAGCATGCCTTCCTGAAATGCAAATAAGTTCATTGTTCCCCTGGACTAGGAAAGGAAATTACTACACACAGAGAACACATTTGAGTTGTATTTGTGTGAGCAATTAAAAAACAAAAACAAAAACAAAAAATCTAACCACCCAAAAAAAAAAAAAAAAACAATTCAAAGACCTTGAAGGAGAGAATATCAGGCCATTTTTTAAAAACACTTATTTTTTTTTCCTCCATATAAAATGACTTTTCCCTAGATTAAAATTCCCAGCCAAGGCTCCTTTTTTAAATTAGACTTTCTCTGTGAGCTTGTGGCTGACATTGAGCTCCTGATTGTCTCGCCTGCCTATTAAGAACACACATTTCCACATTAAAGAGAGACAGGTGGATGCTCTCTGGAGGGGTACTGGGAAGAACTGGCAGTGCCATGTTATGCTCCAAAGATCACTGGACACCTTGGCCCTGGGTGTGTGAGGGGAACCATGCCTCTGATTCCTGTTTCCATGGATTTCAGAGGTTTGAGGACTACCTGATCCACTGGGACCTCAACCTGCGTGTCTTCATCTTCTTGGACTTCTGCTGCCCCCCTCGTTTCAGATCTCTCTGTCCCAGCTTTGAAAATGCCTTCATCTGTGGAGCCAAACATAGGTGAGAAAAAAATCAAATCCAATAATGACATCATGTGGCTGAAAGCTGACATTACAATGAAATGTCAGAAGGGAAAATACATACATATATTCATTTTTTCTTTAATGGCAATGATTTAAATGTGCCTCCCCCACTCCCACTCCCATCTTCTATTTTAACTGAGAAGAGGTCCAGTGGCCATGGTAAGCCTGTCTTGGGAGAACAGAGCTCAAATGGAACAAATGTCTGCTCACACATTGTTGCTTAGTGGGTGGCCTCAGTGGCCAGAGATGGAAGGGACTCCTGGCTAGATTCCAGTACCCCTCCTACCCAGCAATCAGTAACAATGCTCCCTGCTTTACAAAACATTTAAGAATTTCCAGTTCCCTGGAGAATACTATGCATTCAATACAATGTAGGCAAACAATTCTCTATATTCAGGGTGGTAAACAGGTTTTATTGCAGCAGGCTCAGAGAGGACTGGCAGCATCCCTCCAGAAAGTCAGCATGCTTTAGTTTTGTGGATTTTTATAGGATTTTCACAACCTGTGGCTTTAAGCTCTTGACAACAGAGGAAACCTAAGCCCCTAGGGATTTAGGCTAAGCTCCTTCAACTTGTTTCCTTTTGCAAAGCAGCAGTCTCCATTTTTCATATATGAAGGACCTTTAATGTCTCTCCTTGGCCTTCCCTTCTCCAAGCCAAATAATCAAATCCCAGAGCCATTTGTCATTCTGTCTGTCTACTACTTGGCTTCCAGACAGATTTAGTGCTGCAGCCACCCTCACAGATGTTTGCTCTGTCTAAATTTTTAAGGCTCTCCAGGGATGGAAATGTTACCTCCTTTACGGGTATTCTATTAGATTACCCCTACAATCTAAAAACTGTTTCTCTTTTGTCTTCAAGTCACCTTTATTTCTGTAACAAGGGCATGTTTGCTAGAAAAATTACTTAATACACACCACACATTGCTAAAGTTCCAAGGTCAACTTTAACTACACACAAAATGGATGCTTACATTTATTGAGGAACAATTTATACTTTAGGAAGCAACACAATAGCATAAGATATGAATGAGATGTAGCACCCATACATCTGGGACAAAGGTCAGAGCACTCACAGGTCATCTGCTCCCTGTGACTGCTTACAGCCCCACAAAGCAGAGAAAAACTGACTCCATAAAGCTGCTCAGAGGTTAGGGGTCTCATTGATAAAACTACAGGAGAGTGTAAGGAATGGGGAGATGACATAGCCAGGGAAAGACACAGGGAAGGAAGGGGAAAGAAATGGGAAGGGATGGAATCTCAGGTACAATTTACATTCCTTTCTTAGATTACAGAACAGAGAGATGGCAGATATAGTATACTGCAGCTACGACTTACTCCAAATATTGGGCTTTCTTACAAAGAAACAACATAGAGAATGCTCTATAATTTATCAATAACAGCAGAGTGCATTCACAATCACTGTCAATGTCTACCTCTGCCAACAGAGCTATGAATTGTCAACAGATGTATTTTAGAAAAGGTATGCCACCACAGAAAAGGCACATTCATTAATAAGAACTGAGGTTGGGGTTGGGGATGTAGCTCTGTTGGTGGAGTGTATAAGTAATGGGCTCCAACCTCAACAATGCATAAACTTATAAAGTAATGCACCCCTGTAACCCAGCACTCAGAAGGTGGAGGCAGATAGATCAAAAGTTCAAGGTCATCTTTGGCTACATCATGAATTTGAGACCAGCCTAGGACATATGTGAGACTGTCTCAACAACAATAATGTCAACTTGAAGTGGACCTTGGACAGAAAGTGTCAATCTTAAGACAAAAGAAGTTGGCAAGATCCACCTTGAGATGGGAGAGATACACAGAGAGTACAACCATGGAGGTGTTCACCAGGGTGGGGCTGGGGGTTCATTCCTCAGTGAGTGGAGATGCTGATGCTATTCCCTCCAGCATCAGGGAAGGGGACTGGAATGGGTAAAAGATTCACCACAGTCAACATAAACCAATGCTAGAAGAAAAGGAAAGAATCCACTGGGATGCTAATTCATTCTCACTATAAATGTTAGTAAAGGTAAAGGTGGTGATGCCCTTCATTCTTAGAGAAAGCAGACCTTTCAAAAGTAGTCTTATTATTCATCTTGATATGTTTGCAGTTCAGAAGTTAAAAGATGAAGGAAATAAAGACTCTTCCAATATCTCATGGCCCAGAGACAGCTGTCACCAACATTCACAACTCCTCCTCTTAGTCTTCCACTCCTCTTCTTCCTCCCCCCACCCCCCGCCACACACACAAATAAGTAAAACTTGAGATTTATAAGTGAGTATCTACATTAAAATTATACCATGAGCATTTATCAAGCCATCAAATATTACTGGGAAATATTAAAACATGGTGATGTTGTACCATAACTACACTGAATAATAAAGATTGGGTTTTGCATGGAGACATTGCAAGGAGTTGATTGATGTGAGGTTAGTAAAGAATTGCCACTCTGGAAGCAGGAAAAGAGTCCTGGAGGCTCAGCCCAGGTGGAGAGAGATCCCAGGGGCAAGTGCTACCTCCCTTTATGTACACAGCAGAAGCAAATATCTGTCTTTTGAATCCTTGTTTCCAAGAGTAAGCCTGGAGCACTAAACACAGTAAGTTCACACTGAACATTTATTGAAAATAAGGTGGAAACAAGCCCCGGGTTTACTCTCTTTCTCACACATCAATTTTCTTCCTGCTTGATGTGCCCTCCTTGTGTGCAGCTGCTTCAGACACCTTATGGGTATTTAGTTCTTCCTTCCCACACTAGCCTCTGTGTACACTGACCTCCTAGTTTGGACACAATTATATCACCTCCCTCCTCAGTATCTCATTGGTTGCCCCTCCTACCTCTTGCTCAAGGAAATCTCAACTTCCTATTTCTTACTATCTGAGTAATGATGCCCATGGGAGCATTCTGCATCCTGGTCCACACATTATCCATCTCTCCTACTTCCTACTCCATTGACAGAGCCTCCGCTACATCTACCAAGTCTTCATCACCTTCCCTAAGTAATATACACTACTAATATGTGTACTATGTTGTTCCATAATTTGTGCCTACATCCTCATGTCTGCTTCATGCTTTCCTGGCTTGTCCTGGTAGAGTCTAACCCTCAGTTCAAATTACATTCAATATTAATACTCTATAAATATCACCTACAGGCTCACCCTAAACTACGCAGCCAAACAAAACCAATCATTTCCTCCCAGCATTCATTATCTCACTGTTCTTTCATAAATCATTATTTCATTTATCAATTTCTATTGCTTACTCTGTCTTGCTCCCTGATGTTCTACAAGTCCTTCAGGTGTAGACCACATCTTTTGTCTTTGCAAGCCTTATTCCTGGCACAATGGCTACCTCCAAACAGATTTTGAAAAGAATGCTTATCAAGTTGACCTGACAGTACTGAGTACTATGTAAACACAGAATTCTTGCCATTGCCTACAAATATTAACTATAATAGAATTTCAATGTACATATGCCTATTGCCAAGAATAGGAGTCCATGTGGTATTCAAAAGTAAACCCATAAAATTGTGTGTGTGTGTGTGTGTGTGTGTATACATTTTAAGCAGATAGGCAATAACATAATGCCTTATATCTTTACTACTAGTTTAACCCCCCTGCCTTTCTCCTGTTTTTATCTCCCTACCTCTTCCAAATTGATGTCCCCCTCACCCTATTTTTCCCTTCAAGTCACTTGCATACACTTATTCTTCTCATGGTTTAAATGAACTCTTCCCATCTGGGATGACAACACTCCCCCAAGAGCCACAATCTAACAAAAACCCCAACACCATGCATAAGACTCCCCCTTTGACATTGCTAGTCAGAGTCCTGAGGACTAGAGTTTGTGGTACCAGAAGATGTTGTGCAAGCTTCCAGAGGAGGGAAGCAACATTTGGAGACACAAATGGAATGCAGGTAAAGACACATGTCATAAAAGGAGATATAAAACTGATTGCTATCTAGTTATAACTCTTTCATGTATCTGTCTCTCATGTGTGTGGGGGGGGGGCGTTGATAAGTACCTAACAATGTAATGACAGTGAAAGTGTATAATTCAAAGTAAAGCTCGATGTCTTCAGAATGGCTATTCTATCTATACAGAAGTTCATTGACATGTGTAGACTTTGAGTTTGGCTAATCTCACTGATTTTTTTTCAAGTTCTCCAAAATAAAGTTTTGGTTAAAAGAATAAAATAAAAAGTATTTAATTTTGGCTGAATACATGGCTCAGTCTACACAAACATGAGGACCTGAAATCAATTCCAACACCCATGGTAAAAAGAAGAGAAGGGGGAAGAGGTAACAGCTAGGTGTAACACATACAATAGGATCCCCAGAGCTTATGGCCCAGCCAGTTAGCCTAGTCAGAGAGCTCCAGGTTCAGTGAGAGACCCTGTCTCAGAAATAAAAGGTGGAAAATGATTGAAGAAGACACCAGAAGTCAATCTCTGGCCTACACACACACACACACACACACACACACACACACACACACACGCCCACTAATTCATCCTTCAACATCTTTCCACTACGCCTTATGTTCTTCACAAGATATAAAGAGTTGAGGTTGGGCAGCACACTTTCCCCCTCCTGCACATCGATTTACACCACCCTCCACTGTTGCCAACAGAAACTCCACTTACAACATGTGGCTTTTTACTTCCCACACCCTTTGCTGCTTTTCACATGATTAGCTATTCCTCCCCATTCAGTTTTCAGAAAAGTATTCTTCACTCCAGTGCCAGAAGCCACCACTCACTCAGTGTCTCACTCTCAGTCTCTGCCTGGTGCTCATTTGTTTGGTAACTTCCTGTCCATCACTTTCTCCCAAAGCAGAGAGCAGGGATGTACCCACCTTGTTCATTACTGCCTCCAGCAATGAACAGAATGCAGCACAGAGACATTGAAATGCGATTGGACACTGAGGCACATTTGTATATGTGAGGAGACAACAGCT